TCTAGATGCTTCCCTTCTAATATCAGGTTTGTGTACTGTTTTGCCTACAAACTGCCACAATTGTTCTATGTAAAGTAGATAGCATATCATGCCAGAAGTCTGACAAATGCAAGTGCTCCTTCTGCCATGACTGATGTGATCAGACCTTGTGATAGTCTTGATCAATGTGAAGACAGAGTTGGCCTCTGAGTTAATTGTAGCATCTATTTGTATATAAAATTACAAATGAAATAAGTGATTTTACAAAGGAACACATATAGAACAGTGGATAAAAGGGTATTGAATTACATTACATAAACTATACTGAATTAACTGATGTATAAAAGTACAACGAATGAATACAAAAATATTATTTACCCATAACTGATATAAATTCTTTTCTCTTCCCACCTCTTTATGAAAAATTCCACAAAAAGAGAGGAAGCCTTTAAAAAATCACTAGACATTTCAGCTTCAACTGCTAATGCTTTCTATCATCTGGGTTAGAGATTGTTCTGTAACTGACCACTGAGGATTATAATTATGGCTTGAAACTGAAGAAGGAAGAAAAATAGCTTTGAAAGTTATTTATAAACCACAGTCCTGCTGACTTATCTTTAAAAATGGAATCACTCAATTCTTCCCCCACCTTCTCCTGTCTAGACTAGCAGTGTAATAACTCAATTTATGAAGATCTCTCTGGTGTGTCATTAGGTTCAATTGCTAGTTAACTTTAGTTTCCTCGTCAGTGTAATTCAAGGTCACTGGCTGTTCCTGACAGCATTGTTAGCATACCAGATGATAGGATTGTTTCTATATCCTCAGGTATAATAGTCTGGACATGCTACTTTCAGCTGTTAATCTGGGTCTACATGCTGGACTTTTTGTATTTTAACTTTGTTTTTCTTCTCATTTATGACTGTATTTTCTTTAAAAAAACACATAAACCTTGCTCTCTGTTATGGTCCCCATCCTGACTGGAGTCCTCACAGCTGCAGTTTATATTGTTGGAAGTAATTCATTTGATGAGCAGGACAAAAAAGAAAATGATAATATATTTTCAGGACATTTACAGGTGCTCAATCATTCAAATATATCAAAAAAAAATCCATCTAAAACCATTATGGATAATAAGGCATGTATAAAAAAGGAAGAGGCAAATTTAAATGGGAAGAATTGCTTTGAATAAATTATTTCTCAGTGACTGCTTTAAGGATAAGCATTATTATAATTTGCTTTCTGCCAAATTGGAAAAAAATTCCTGAAATAACAATTCCCAATGGTTTAAAAAATGCATGCAAAAGAAAAATATTATACTGTATACAAAAGACACCTTTTAGCTTAATTTTGATATAAATTGCTGAAACATGACACACAAAGCAATATTTTTATTCATTCCCAAAGTCAGCACATATCCAGAATGATTTTTCCTAATGTTTAATAATTGTCTTCTTTAAAGACAATATAATGATAATTCAGTATATAATGATAGAATCCATATTTGGATATACAGTTAATATAATGTCTGTAGCCTTAAAGAATGATGGTTATAAACCAATATTTATTAAGAATTGGAACATCAATTAAAAATATCAGATTTTATGACAAGTATTTTTTCATCCAAATTCCACTTCCCACTGCTAAAAAGTCTCTTTGAAACTTATCTGTGGAATCTAAAAACAAGGAAAAGTTTATAATGAAATAATGAAAATGAGATTTGGAATATATAATCAATAATCCTGCTGAAGAAGTCGTCTTTCTTCAATCTACATGGACATGTCCCTATGTTTTCTTGGTAACATTTTGGAAGTAGTTTGCTATTCATAATTTCTGAGATTTTTTTTCTTTCAATGTCTCAATCTAGCTACATTGTAAGGTTTCCTAATTTCCCCCCCCCCATCCGTCTACCAATCAGATTCAGTCATACTTTTTCAAGATCAGCAATTCTGATTAAGTGCTGTCACCTGCTATGGCTAAATTATTGCACAGCATATTGCCTAATGTAGAGTTAGACTTAAAGAAGTATCTCTAGAATAAAATATTTTCTTAATTACTTTTTAAATATTTATTAAGATAAATAAAAATGGGTGATTTTTGGATTTTTTTTAAATTGGCTATTCCTTTGTTTTTATAGCATTTTTTTTTTAAAAAAATACAACATAAAATAATTTAAGGGATCTTTATTTTTGGAGGAATAAAACCACCATTTAATTGTTCGGCCATTACCTCTAGAACAGTGTTCTCAACCTGTGGGTCGGGACCCCATTTGGGGTCGAACGACCATTTCATGGGGGTCGCCAAGCAACGCAGTCTGCCATTTTTCCCCCTTTTCCTTAGTTGTGCTACTCCCTTTTATTCTATTGGCTTTTGAAAGCCAATAGAATAGACTCTCTTGAATAGAGTCTAATTCTATTGGCTTTCAAAAGCCAATAGGAATTGTCCAGGCTGTCTCTGCCCTGCTGAGCCCTCCAAAACTCCCATTCTGCAAACGGTGCTGCACCAGTTGAGTAATCCTCGACTTACAACCGGTTGAGTAGTCCTCGACTTATGACCGGTTGGGGGTTGTGACATTAAAAAGGTTGAGAACCACTGCTCTAGAAAATGTTAAATATGGAAAGCTAAACCTTCTAGATCAGTGCATCCATATGTTTTCTGTTGAATCGAAATCCCCTATTTGTATACAATATAGGAAGCTGTCTGCCCAGGAAGAGACATGCCTGCGAGGACAATGAACGAACCGTGGCCTTTCCTGGATTCTTGGACTGGATAGTAGTTTTTTTTGTTTGTTTTTTTAGTGCAGTGGGGAAAAAGGTTTTCAACTGTACAGACATTATTTTACAGTACTTATGAACTTTCAAGTTGCGAACTTTTGTCAATATGAACAAACTTGACTGCAACTTCAACTAAAGGGCTCTGGAAGTCAGGAGAAGGTGGGGAAGGATTAGAACTGACTTTATCTTGCATATTTTTTTATGCTTGTTTGCATTTGTGAATAAACTGGATTTACAAACAACCTCTCAGAATCTAACCTGTTTGTAAGTAGAGTATTGTCTGTATTGTGATTCCCCAGTTTATTGCCATCTGGCTTTTTAAAAAAGTGGGTAAATATACAGATTCATAGGCTTGGATAGATTATTGCAGATTACATATAAAAGTTGAAACATTTTGTGGCTTAAAAAAAAGATTAGCACAGCCACTAATAATTATATTTTTTCAAAGTGGGGTATGTTCCAAACAGATACACTAGACATGGCTTATGCTGGGTCAGTTCAAATATAATATACATTATATACTAGCATTTCTAACACAAAGCTTTCAAAATGATTTAAAAGCAGCCACATTTTTAAAAATTGAGGTTTGTTTTTATGTGCATTTACAGCATATATTTATGATGAACATTTTCTGTTCTAGATAAATTCTACCATTCATCTTTTGATTTTACTGTCTTTCAGGTGTGGAAAGAGTTATAATAAAGAAAAATCCTAAAACACAAATTTAATAATATTGAGAATGGTTAGCAGAAATTGTAAAACAATTGAGAACACCATATGAATGAGAAGCTTACTTACTAGGCATGGAATGAGAAGACCTTTGCATGCTTACTGAATTTCATATACTGTATGAAACAACAGAAGTTGTGGGGTCTGTCCATCATTTAAATTGGCTTTCCTTGAAAGCTCTTTCCATTGAGCCATAAAAAAAGGGTAGACACGAATAGGGAAATGATTCCTATTTGATCTTCTTCTGCAACTTCCAGTATCATTTCTCTGAAGTGCCTCCCCTAATTTATTTATTTTCCTAATTGATATTGCTGCCCCTCAGTGGTGGGATTCAAATATGTGAACAACTGGTTCTCCGTGTGGATGCCATTCTGGCCCTGGGCAACAAAAAATTAGCTATCAGTTCTGCAGAAGTGGTGCGAACTGGCTGAATCCCACCACTGCTGCCCATCTCTTGAGCAAGTGACTCTGGACGGTATACAATTAAGCCTTCAGTGCAAAAGGAACAGAAGAACAAGGGCGAAAAAAAAAGAATTGAAAATGTAGGTTCCTGTCTCCCTTCTTTCAGAGTGCAATTTTGTGAAGCCTGGATCTAAGCCTTTGTTTATAAATAGAGCACTTTTTTGGCCAGGAAAGAAATGGGAAACTATCTCATGAGCCCCTCCCGTTCTCTCCACAGGGAGCCCTGCTTTGACTGAAACTTGCTCTCAGTGCAAAGGAAATGGGTAGTTCTGGACACAGACTGTGAACTATAATTTTACCCATATGCTTGCAATTTCCTGTGAGAATGATAAACAAATATGTGTTTTGTAGTAATTGACAGCAAATACAAAACAAGCACCACAAATAGTCCTTGACGTATGACCACAACTGAGCTTGGAATTTTAGTGGTTAAGTTGTAATGGTTATTAAGTGAGGCACCTTGCTCAATGATCATGATCTTGGTGATGTCTTGCTCAATGATCACGATCTTGGATCTCCTAGCTGTGGTTGTTAAATGGAGCATTGGATGCCTCAGAGTGTGGTGGAGTGCCTGCGAAGTGTGGTGCAGGCCTGGCATGCACTCTATTTCAGGTCCAGGCCTGCACTAAACTCTCATGTAGCCTGCATTGGGCCTTGCAATATTGAATGGCTGCTGAATGAACAGTCCAAGGATTGCCTGTAATAAATGTGAGCAGGAGATTTAAACAAATCTTGAATGCGTTGGGAGAAGCTGACCAACAAGCCAGGAAAATAAGTGGTATTCCTGTATGGATATCAGACCATTGTTGACTGTAAATGTCTACGTTATTTGTGATGAATACGGTTCTGTTGACCTTCCTTCTGCCATTTAAATTATTATTAAATTGTATTGTAGTTTAACATTCATGTTCAAGGATCAAATGAGTAGAAAAGCCCTTTACTCTCATAACTTACATGTGTATTGAATATGTTGTATTACAGACTACCGATCTGATATATAATGAAACAGAAAATGGATTGTATTCATTTGTGGTTTTCTTTTATTGTGTACCTTTTCAGAGTGCAAATTCACCTGCACCAGTGGCAAATGCTTATATCGTGCCTCACTGCTCTGTAATGAACAGAATGATTGTGGGGATAATAGCGATGAAGAGAACTGCTTACTTGTAACTGAACATCCACCTCCAAGTATCTTTAGCTGTGAGTACTTGCCAATTATATAATTTGCTGTGAATTTTGTTATATTTCTTTTGTTATTGCTGGTGTTGTTGGGGGATGTTGGAATCGAAGTAGAAACTGGTCATTGTATGTAATTATCACAACAGAGAATAAAAAGTATAGCCATAGTTGTGATTTATCATTTTCCTTCTTTTCAGTTGGTATGCTTTACTAGTACAAGAAATTTTCAGCAAAAAAGAAGGCACTAGGAATTTAATTGCTTACAACTAATTTCTCACACTCACTGATAGAACTCCATACAGCATGCTAATATGCCCAATATCCGAAAAACAGAAGGCTCAAACTGTTTGTCAGTGATGGAGCTTTCAGGATTATCTAGGTTGAGTAGGAGTATCCATGTGGCATGCAGCCAAATATTAGCAGTCATTGACAGAGGGACCGAGTAAAACTAGATTGGTCTTCATATTGTCTGCCATTAGATATGTGTAGATTTCGACCTTTTAAAACAGAAAGCAATTTGTTTCAGACTCTTAAAGAAGGTCTTTTGGATTTTAATCAGTTTTAAATTTACTGAAAATCTAAGTATTTACAGGATGGCATATAGTATCTAAAACATGGTGTACATTTTAATGCTTTTTTCTGTCCAGTTCTGTCCAATTACTATTAAAAATTATTTTGATATAATTACAAACCATATTTTCACATTATGTTTTAAATGCAGAGAAATTCTAATATTGTGTATATTCCATGATAATATAGCCTTTCTGATAGCATCAAAGTAAGCTTTCCTTCATATTATTCAAAAAGATTATATAAGATAGTGACTTTCTTTTTAATTATGCTTTAAATAATCAAGGTTAATATTTTATAAGGCATTTAATAACAGGCAAACAAATAAGAGTAGACTATAACCCTGTTATATTCTAAATAGAATCTCTGTTTAGATTCTATTTAGAATATAACAGGGTTATAGTCTACTCTTATTTGTTTGCCTGTTATTAAATGCCTTATAAGAGTAGAATATAACCCTGTTGAATTCAGTAGCTGAATTGAAGAGAAATCATATGTTTTTGTTCAAGGATTCTGAAAAAGTTGTTCAGAATAATATACCATATATATTTTCAGATAAGGCAAAAAATTTAGGTGCAAAAACATACTCCCAAAATTGGGAAGATTATCTACAGAGAGGTTCATCAGTGAATATATGCAGCAACAAAGTACTTTTTAAATGTATCCACATATCCTGGAAATATTTGTGTATAAACCCATCCATTGCTAGGCTGACCTTCAAATTTTTAACCAAATTACAATGAAAAAATGTACCACCAACAGATAAACCAATTGTGAAAATTAAAACATGGAAATTTTGGGGGTTGATTTATTAGCAGGTGGTTCATTTTTCATGATATTTTGGTTAAAATTTCAAGGGTTGGCCTGTCCGCTGATAGGCTTATATATGAGTATGTATAATATGTTTAAAAATGAATTAATTGGCACATCTTAACAAGCTCTAGTGTCACAGCCATCACATTAACATTAAGAGCTGTGGTGGTGCAGTAGTTAGAATGCAGTATTGCAAGCTAATTCTGCTAACTGCCGAGTGCCAGCAGTTTGGCCGTTCAGGTCTCACCGGCTCAGACTTCCATCCTTCTGAGATCAGTAAAATGAGGACCCAGATTGTTGGGGGCAATATGCTGACTCTGTAAAACGCTCAGAGAGGACTGTAAAATACTGTGAAGTCTAAGTGCTATTGCTATTAACAATCAGAATTTGTTTATACATTGTCTGATCTACAAATTTTTCCTTTTGTTGTAAATTAAGTGTTTGGCTTTAATGTGATGACATTAGTGTGGAATCATGAGTTTCTATAATGTACCAGAGATGAGAAACGCCTAAAAGACTGGAAGGTAACTTAGAAAGCATGTGGTTTCCTTGAAGAAGAAACTTTGAATACATTTCTGAAGCACACAAGCTGTGATTGAGTTTTTACAAAATGAAAATGGCAAGTTTGAGTTTTTCACAGGATGCCAGTATTAGCTAAGAAGTTTTCTGAACACTGTGTTTATATGGTGGCTGAGAGAATTTCCAGATTCCATCACTGAAAAGTGGTTGAATCTGTCCCAATTAGTATTTGCTTGTTGCAAATCTGAATTTCTACAAATGGATTTTACCTTAGTGCATAGGTATCAAACTCACCACTTCACGTGACATATCGCGAGGTTTTTTACATTACTGGAGCTGGGGTGGGCGCGGTCTCCGTATAATGCAACTGGCCCAGGGCCGGCAGTTTGATACCCCTGCCTTAGTGTATCTGACTGCAAATGCTCTCTGATATATTTCCACTATCTTTGTGCTTCCTAATTTTTTTTATTCTAAGTTTTACAGTTACAGGAATCCTTTTAACAAACAGTTGCAATTGTCTTATGACCGAAACTGTAGATGTATCTAAAGCATTTAAAGATTTGAACACAGGTAGTTCTCAACTTACAACCACAATTGGGACTTGAAAATTTGTTTTGGTGGTTGTTAATTGGGGCATTACATGATTGCACCTAATTTTATTATCTTTTTTGTCATAATCATTAAGCAAATTAAACCATTGCCATTAAGCAAGACATCACATGTTTGTGATTTGTGATCTTTCCTGCTAGTTTCCTTTTTGACTTTGCTTGTTGGAAGTCCGCTAGGAAGGTTGCAAATGACAACTGCACAATTCTGGAATGCTGCAATAATTGTAAATACATACTGGTTACCAAGTGCTGAAATTGTGATCACATGACTACAGAGACACTATGATAGTCATAAGTGTGAGAAACAGACATCACTATTTCACTGCTGTCATAACTTTGAACAATTGCTAAACGAATGGTTGTAAATCAAGGACTCCCTATATCAGATTTGTAGAATCTCATGCATTGCATGAGAAAAGCACATCTTCCTTCCACTGTCCTTACCACTTTCTACAGAGGGACGATTGAGAGCATCCTGTCATATTGCATTACAGTCTGGTTTGGAAGCATTACTGCATCAGACAGGAAGGCAGTGCAGAGAGTGGTGAGGATGACAGAAAAGATTATTGGCAGTTCCCTCCCTTCTGTCCAGGACATAGCATATAAAGGTTGCTTGAGCAGCGTCCGCAAGATTATCTGGGACGCTACACATCCTCTTCATGATCTGTTGTTATCTTTTGGGAGGAGGCTTCTTGGTATCTGAAGCAGAACATCCAGATTCAGTCACAGTTTTGTTCCATACAGTATCAACCTTGTGAATTCTCAAGCTTTCTCTTTCCGCAATGTATTCAAGATGGACTGTGATTAATATTTATATGCATTTATATGTAATGGTGTAGATACATACATATGTATGTATATAGCAGTGATGGGGAAACTTTTAGAGACCGAGTGCCCAAACTGCAACCCAAAACCCACTTATGCATCGTTGGGTGCCAGGTGGGTGTGGCCTATTGGGTGGGTGTGCCCATTGGGTAGGTGTGGCTGTGGTGGTAACGGCAGACTGGGTGGGACTAAAAAGTTCAATTAATCAATTCCAGCTTTGCAAGATCTTTTTGAAATTGACTGATTGATTGAACCTGTTTTTTTTGTACACGGTGGTGGAGGCCTAAAGCGAAAAGGTTTTATAAAACCCAGCTGAGGGCCTAGGATTGGGGCGACGGTGCACGTGCCCACAGGGAGGGCTCTGAGTGCCGCCTCTGGCACCCGTGCCATAGGTTTGCCACCACTGGTATATAGCATATAGTATGTGTGTTATGTATGTGTACACTTTTGAAAGCAGGCAATTTCATTTTTAATGTGTGCCAGTGTGCCCACAGTAAAAAATGACAATAAAGGTTATTTTATCTTATCTAGAATACCTTTTAAATTCGAAGTGATTTCATTTGCCTCTAAATAAAATGTATATTAATAATTCTACTTTGTAAACTAATTTTTGTATACAGCTTTTTAAAACATTTTTACACAATAGCAGAATTCCTCAAATGGCTATAGATTCCTAGACACAGATTTAATTCTCCATTCTTATCCATTGCAAAGTGCAATTGGATGCATATAATTGAGTATTGGTTGCGTTTCCATCACCCAACCATTCTTATAGAGCTCTTCTTGAAAAGGCTTATCTTGCTGATCAGCTGTTGAGCAATGTGTTTCTTTGCTGCACCTCCTTTCCCACCAAACAGAACATTGTGAATTTTCAGCTTCTTTTCATGAAGGCTTTCTTGGCATGAAGCCAAATTGGGGAGGATGCTAGATTTTATGCATTAATAGATTCCAGATGTTTTTAAGCATTCCACATGTTGATAGCATTGGACCAGGTGCAGTGATAGAACAACTTGCCCAGCAGTTTAAAATTACTAGGGAGGTGAAATACTGCTCATTCAGCAGCACAATTAATTAATACATTGTTACAGTTACTTTAATTATAGCATTCTGTACTTTTGCATTAGATATATCCTTTGTGAGGAGTACTTAGCAACCAAATATACTGATGACAGAAGTGGTAAGGATTTATCATCATGGTTTTGGCCACATTTGGTGCTTTGTGCTTTAATGGTTGTAAAACTTGACATTTCAAAATGATTACCAAAATGATATTATTAAGGCCATAGAAAATTAGGGACAAAGAGATATAGTCAATATTCTTTGCAGCTTGGATGCAAGGAAAGCAAATATGTCAATATGGTTTTATAGCTTCTTTTCATATTGCCCACTGTAGGGGAATATAAATTTACTTTCTATTCTAGGTCAGAGCACGTAGACTCTGAGAATACTGAGGAATAGCTGTACAGAAGAAATGATTGAAGTGCAGATTTGTAAATTCAAAACATTGATTGATAATTCTGTCTTATTCAATTTACTGTCTAATTGCATGTTTTCTCTTCCATGCCCTTGCACCTTTATTGTATCGGCATTGTTCACTGTACAGAATTAATTTGTGTGCTTGGAGTAGAGGAACATCATCACTTCCTTGCTGATTTACAGAACAAATGCTTTGATGAGTAAGACTTC